GCTAATATTAACTTCTTTTACATATTTTGGAAAAATTGCATATAAAGACAGTAGGTAACTGAATAATTCAATTATATAGCTTATACTAGAATCAAGTCTAATTGAATAGACCAAATTCTCTTAAATATCACAAAGCACGGTTTTGAAATACTAAATAATTAATGGAATAATACATAATCTGATTACCTGAACATTTCTGTGTTTCAATCTAAGTATTCTAGAGTTTAAAATCTACTATCTCACAAGTGAAACTTTGGTGTCATTTCGAAGATTCTTCAATGATAGTCTCTTACGTGTTTGGCTTATTTACCTGAAATACTGACCAGAGACGTTGTGCCTATGATGCTCTATGTATAGTCATTATATCAACTCATTTAACAGTCTTGTAGATCTAATAACCAACAGACAATACATACTTGGGTTTAGATTTTACTTAATTTTTCTTCTCACAAAACTTTGCAACCTGTTTTTACCAAAGTTCCAGGAGTAAGAAATCCCAACTGAAGCAAAGAAAAATCTTATTAGTTTGGTGTTTCTGTGACCCAGGCCAGTTCTTGGCCCATGGTGATAATTTTAAGAAATGCTTTTCAGATTGAATAAAATACCTTTATGAGCATATGTTAGTAAAGGACAAAAATGCTTTTTCTCATTACTGAATTAAATACTTGTATTTTGCACCATACTGTTTATTGTTTAAAAGAGCTTTGTAACTAGGTAATAACTACTCATCATCTAGTTCATTCATTTAAAAGCTTTTATTGTATAAGTGCTATGTGACAAGGGCTTCCCAGGTGGCGCTAGTAGTAAAGAACCCGGCTGCCAATGAAGGAGACATAAAGAGACCCAGGTTCAATTCCTGGGTCAGGAAGATCCCCTGAATGAGGGCATGGCAACCCACTCCAGTATTCTTGCCTGGAGAATCCCATGGACAGAGGAGCCTGGCGGGTTACAGTTGATAGGGTTGCAGAGTCAGACACAACTGAAGTGACTTAGCATGCATGCATTATGTGAGAAGTGCTCTGCCAGGCCCAACAGGCAGAGTTTTCAGTCTAGAGATGCTGTAAGAGTTGGTAACTGGTACAGATGCAAATATTCCATTTGCATGGACAAACAATATACTTGCCTGTGCTGTGTTTCCTCCATTTAATATTTCTATTCTAAATATATTATTTCATGCACTGGAAGATGAAGAGGATGGTCAGGTTACATTTTAGCTTATCTTGTCCACCTATGTACAAAGTAATGCTGTACAATTTTTGTGTGTATGGATGGGCCTATGGTACTGTGAAATATTTCAAGGTATTCTTCAAACAAACACTAATGAGGTTAATATGAATCATTAGGTATAAATGTGGAGCCCATAATGCTATTTGAACATCAGCTATTGCTATTCTTTTTGGCTTGAAATCTCTGCTTTCTGGTATTGTTATTTATCTTTGTATTTAGGCCCTATCTTCCCCCTTTGAATAAAGCTCTTCAGTAACAGAAATCATCTCTTATATCTCATAATTGCTTCAACTCTTAGTATAATGTCATCCAATCATTCAAAAGGATGTTTCTATATATGAAGCATTGTGATAACTCTGGAAAATAGCTGGGAACATGATATTGTTCCTGGCACCAAGAAGCTTAAAATCTGAAAGGGAATAAGAGAATAGAATGTGCAACAAAAGGCTAACACATAAGATTAAGGAAAACTAGAGATCAGTGTGTTAGTAGTAAATGTCTATGAATATCAAGAACACAGCATAAGTGTTTTTAAGCAGGCTCTTTAAAGAGAGAAAACATTATGCATATAAATGTGGAAATAAGATATCCAAATAGAGGAATACATTTGCAATTTTGAACACTTTCAAATAAAGCATTATTAAAAAAATTTTGTATTTCCTTGGGAATTTGTGAATCATAATAAATGTGTGAAGGGAGTAAGTGGTTCAGGGTTGGGGAGAATACTGTATGAAATCAGTGTTTTTGAAAGCTCAAATAGGCACCCAGGCAAGGTGTAGGGATGACAGATTCTTCATTTGTCATTAGGTAACATAATACATAGTGAATTAGCAAGCACATGGTTTTCTTTTTTAGCATTAAAATTCTTCTTCAGTTCAGTCATTCATTTGTTTAATGAAAGCGTATTTATCAAATAGTTATTTTGTGCCAAAAATTATGGGTATAAACATGTGTCAAATAAAGTATCTGACCTCGCAAAAGATCACAATATTCAGGAAGATAGACATATAAACACAGTTATAATACATAATGATAAATGTTATAATCAAGAGAAATAAGAGCATGTCCCACTGGATTTGGCATTCTTCTACAATTCCTTATATAGAGGTCATCTATAATCTTTTCTCAATAGTCAAAGAAAGGAGTATAATGTGATCTAACACTTATCAAAGCACGTGTGTTTTTGTAGGGGAGGGAGTAATTTAACTTCACTAAAGCTTGGTTTCTTCAGCTATAAAAGGGAAATAACAATAAAAATGACAGTAGAAAAATCTAGTATGGCTTGCAAAATCACTTCTTAGAGATTTCAAATTCTTTTGGGCAAAATCTTGGTAGTCAAATAAAATTATCTTTCAAAGCATATAGTAAGTGCTTACCATGTAGAATGTGCTCATGATATTAATTAGTCATTAATTACTCATAAGAGCTATGTCTTTCCCACTAAACTGTATGCTTCATGAGGGGAGAAGGAATCCTTTCTATAAGATGACAAATTTTCATTTGTTCTCTGATTTCTTCAAATGTAGCCTCAGTTCAGTTCAGTTCAGTTGCTCAGTTGTATCTGACTCTTTGCGACCCCATGAATCGCAGCACGCCAGGCCTCCCTGTCCATCACAGACTCCCGGAGTTTACTCAAACTCGTGCCCATCGAGTCGGTGATGCCATCCAGCCATCTCATCCTCTGTCGTCCACTTCTCCTCCTGCCCCCAATCCCTCTAAGCATTGTAAAGGCTATTAACTAAATTGTCATGTAGTTCTTATATTATTCAAAAGCTCTTCTTGTACCTAATAATTTGTCTCATTTACATTCACACATGACCTTCAGAACATCTTTATTAACACATAGTTCTTAATAATGTTATTAGATGATCCTTTTTTTTTTTTAAACAAATGAGATGACACATTATGTGACTCTTGAGGATTTAGGGTTTAGACAGGACCAGAACTAAAGGTTAAGTCGAAGTCTTCTGACTTCAAGGCCAGTGCTCCTCCCAATATAAGCTAAGCTCTTAGCAAATATATCCCATGCTCAATGCAGACAGGACAGTGAGTTAGAGTAAGATAAGCACTGGATTATGTTTTAGCTTTGTGATTTTGAGCAATTTATTCCATCTCATTAAATTTCAGTTTTTCTATGTGTAAAATGGGANTATGTTTTAGCTTTGTGATTTTGAGCAATTTATTCCATCTCATTAAATTTCAGTTTTTCTATGTGTAAAATGGGAAAAATTACAGTATCAACTATGAAAGGTACCAATGATTAAACAAGTTAATGTATATACAAACTGTCTCATTTAGAAAGTGCTCAGTGAGTATTATTCTTCCACCATTCCTGGTTAGAGTTGACAACAAGAACATTAGGCAGCATTCAAGAAATAAAAGGCATTGTTAGAAAGGGATTAAAGGTTAGGGTTAAGGTTCCATAACCGTAACCTGTCCTAGGTCACCTAGTAGTTGTCTTGGTTCACTGTTGACATTTTAATTCTCCCATGTCTCTTCACTTAGCTCAGAAGTTCTTTATATAAAGTACCCAAGATTCTCTACCATCTAGCCCTGTCTCTCCTCACTCTCTTTCTGTCCTCTGCCTTTCCCAAAGGAACCTATCTGCCTTTCCTTGACTACCCCTCCCGAAGCTCCCAGGGCCCAAAGTTTCTTGTTATCTCCAGCATGTTCAAGCTCTGCTATTTCTTGGATTTGTAAAATACAATGTTCCCATTAAGCACTCCTAGCTAAAGGCCATGTATGCAGTTTCCCCTACAGATTTTAAGAACATCATTGATTTTATAAAGCCTGTGGTTATTCTCATCCTTTAGATACCATTGTTATAATTTTTTAAGAATTTATGACAAGGGTAGAATTATGTGCGCTTGACTTGTCAGGTTAATTCAACAATGACTGATTTCACGCCCACAATGTAATAGAGTGCCAAGTGCAGCTGGGATTTGAAACGAGATAAAGTCTCCGCCTTCAGCAAATTCCAGTATCATTTCTTTAAAAATGGTTGTGTAATGTAAAGGCAGGGATAATTTCCTAATAGTTTATTAATATCAGTGATCTTCATTAGGAAAAACTGCATAGTGGTAACTCACATTGACATCAAAATTCACTCCCTGAATCCAAATCAGTGCCAAAATAGGGCACCGCCGTTTTCTACTCGATTTTCCTTATTGCAGGGCTGTAGTAGTATTTAATGGGGCTCCCCTGATGGCTCAGTTGGTAAAGAATTCGCCTGCAGTGCAGGAGACTCCGTACCATCCCTGGGTTGGGAAGATCCCCAGGAGAAGGGACCGGCTACCCACTCCAGTATTCTGGCCTGGAGAATCCTATGGACTATACAGTTCACGGGGTCGCAAAGAGTCGAATGGGATCTCAGGTCCGAGAAAAAGTTCTTGAGAAATAATTTAGTCTACCAACTAGCCTGCAACATGTATTTTCCTAGACAGAAAAAAATAGAGGACCCTTCCATTGAATTTCGCGGGAAGCAGTTTTCTTTCTGTCCATAGGACTGTGCCCTGGAAGTGCAGAAAGGAGAAGCATTTGTCCTCCGCTTCCTCCTTCCCTTTGTTCCTCCTTTTTCTTTCATTTTAAAATAAGGGCTAGAAATTCTCAAGCAAAACTTTTTCTCTTTTTGAAGCACCTCTCCGCGGAGTCGAGGTTAGCTCCGGGAGCTCCGCCTCTCGCTCGCCCGGATTGGTTGAGAGTCGAGCGGACCGAGTCTCGGGGCGGAGTCCGCGGAGCCCCGGCGGGGAGCGCACTCCAGGCGGCCGGGCTGATCCGCGCGGCGCAGGGGAAAGGCGCCCTTGCCCGGCCGCCCACGAGGCTGCAGCGGGGCCGCCGCAAGGTTCCCGGAGGCCCCGCCGCCGCGCGCCGAGATGTGGAACCCGCTTCACGAAATCGACTCGGCCTCGGGGGCCTGGCCCCGTCCGCGCCGGTTGTGCGCGGTGGCCCTGGTGCTGTGCGCCGGCCTCTTCGTCCTCGGCTTCCTCTTCGGTACGAGGGGGAGGACGGGGGTCCGCGCCACGCTCGGCCCCCAGCCCGCCCTCCTGCCCCGCGGCCAGCCGGGCTCCGGGGCCCCCTGCCGCGGGGTTCCTGCTGCTGGGCTCAGGGGCGGGGATCGGGCTGAGGGGCGTGCGGACCAGCTCCCGCGAGTTAGGTGGGACTTAGTTGCCGGGGAAGCAGGTTTGCGTTCCGGACGGGCTGCTGGAGGACCGGCGCCTACAGGAGGAGAGCGCAGAAACCCTGAAACTGAACTTGAGAAAGTCCCGCCGGCTGCAGGCCTGCCAGAAATTGGCACCTTTCCGCAGGATCTCGGGGGACGTTTGCTAGGTCGTCCAAGGAGCTTTGTAAGAAACGGCTCTTACCTCTTTGGGGTCTTTATCTAGTCGTGTGCGGTGGGGAGAGCGCTGGGCATTGCTTCTTGGGAGCCCTTTTCTCTCCTTTTGGAAGTTAGTAATAGAGGAACAGTTAGGAACTGGTTGACCTTATTGTCAGTGCTCTGAACAGAACTTTTTAACAGCAGTGCTTTCAAGTTTTCCCCTGTGTACTAATTTGCAGACTTAACCCAACTCTCCAAGGTAATCAGGGAGCAGCGCTGATATTTTTCTCAGACTCGGCAACTTCTTCCTGACCTTGAGCAAGTGAGGGATTCTCTGTTAGCCTCAGTTTGTCAGTCTTTGTAAGAATAATAGCTGTAACTTACTGGACGTAGTAAATTGGCACTTTATTCTTTCCTGGTGAGGAGATGCTTCTCATTGGACTTTAATGCACAAGACTAGTGTAAGGTATCACCAGCTAGTTTACCCCTACTATGAATTCTGGGCTCCCTTTCTGGGATTTAGAAGACCAGGGCATAAACCTGCTAGGAGTAGTAGTTTAGTCGCTAAGTCATATCCAACTCTTGCAACCCCATGGACAGTAGCCTGCCAGGCTCCTCTGTCCATGGGATTCTCCAGCATAGAACACTGGAGTGGGTTGCCATTTCCTTCTCCAGTTAAGCCTGCTAGGCTGCCTCAGACTCAGTCTCTTTGTGCTTGCTTTGCGCCCTTTGGACCACATTCTGCTCATAACTGATTGTGGATATCAGGGTTGCTGCGGGGCTTAGGTGAGATAAGTGTACTCTTTAAGGACTCCCGCCAACTTGAGTTTCAATTGTCTCAACTGAAAACCTGGGAAATTCACTTGGCAAGGTTAGCACGAAGGTTAGGATCTTGTGTGTCTTTTTTCTTCTTTTTTTTTTGGCCACGCTGGGTCTTGCTGTTCTCGAGCTTTCTAGGTGCCAGGAGTGGGGGCCACAGGGCTCGGTAGTTGCCGCTCTCTGCCTCTGGGCTCAGCAGTTGTGTGGCACTCAGGCTTAGTTGCCCCTGGCGTGTAGAATCTTCTCGGACCAGGGATCCTGCTTGTGTCCCCTATGTAGGCAAGTGGATTCCCATCCACTGTACCACCAGGGACGTCTTCTCTGTCTTTTAGAAGCATTTTGTGCTTCTTAGTGTTGCCCCTGGGCTTCCCAGGTGGTTCAGTGGGTACAGAATCCACCTGCAATGCAGGAGACTCGGGTTAAATCCCTGGGTTGGGAAGATTCCCTGGAGGAGGGCATGGCAACCCACTCCAGTATTCTTGCCTGGAGAACCCCATGGACAGAGGAACCTGGCTGGCTACAGTCCCTGGGGTTGTAAAGAATCAGACACGACTGAAGTGCCGGAGTATGTATCCTGTGTTGCCCTCGGCCCCATACAGTGGCTTACATGGAGTGCGTTCTTTATTAATGTTAATTTTTCCCGAGGATTCTCTGCTCCTTCCCTCCCACAGTCCTCCATCCTCTTTATCCAACTCAGTTTCTAGATCTCGATTCAAGCATTTCATCCCCCATGTGCCCTGATCTTAAAGTCGTTTCCAAGTCTCTCTTTTTTTTTTTTATAACATACTGGTGGAACTGTATTTCCATTTGCTGCCAACTGTTTATTTCAGTACACATGTATATATGCATATGTGTAGCAGGTATGTGATTAATAATCGGAAAGCTCCATGAAAGCTAGCTGGGTGTTTCTGGTAACCATTTTATGCACAAATCATATCATTTAGCTGACTATCTGTCATGAAGCCAGCTACAGGGGCTCATGGTCCTGGGCGAACTGCCTACCCATTGCCTCTAGCCTATGTTTGTCTTGAAGAGATGTTGGGTGACTTGTAGTTTCATTGTAGCTCTCTGAAGTTGGACTTTTCAAGCCTGCTTCAACTGGAAGCACAAAATATTTCATCACACTTTGTTTTAGTTTCAGAACCAGAACAAATTACAAGACTGAATTGCCTTCAACTCTTTGAAATGATTTATGTACATGAAATATGTTCATAATTAATTCATTAAACACCTACTAAATGTTTCTTCTGGGTCAGCAGGGGAGTAGTCACTGGGAATAGAAGCTTGAAGGAGAAAGAAGGTGGATCTCCTTTCTGCTTTCATTTTCCCCATTAGTTGAAATGTATTTAATTTTAGTGCTAATATCATAAAGCATTTCTTAGAATAACAGCAATACATAATGAAATTGGATTAAAAATATATTGTGACTGATTTGTAATTAAGTCTGTCTGCATGATTTTTTTTTTCCAATGGAGGTAGGCAAGAGAAAACTTCAGGAAATCTCAGTTAATGCCAGAGGTCATGGACAATTTGTGTTTTACATATGATAAATAAAATAATAAGGAAAAGTAGGCTCTGTCTGAAAGCTCATACCCCATTCCTATATTTGTTTGTCTTTTGCAGGATGGTTTATAAAGTCCTCCAGTGAAGCTACTAACCTTCCACAGCATAATGTAAAGAAAGCATTTTTGGATGAGTTGAAAGCAGAGAACATCAAGAACTTCTTGTAGTAAGCAGATACTTCAAAGTTTATATCAAGTTGGAAAATTTTGTTATTCTGTTTAGAAGTTTGATCCACTATTTCATAAACAGAAACTGACTTAAAAAAAAGTCTTATTATTGAAGATCTTGTATCACATTTCATCTCAAAAGGATTGTACCCTCAACTGAACTTTATCATGATATTTATTTTAAAGCAGGTGTCAGCATACTTTTCCTGTAAAGAGCCAGCTTTTGTATGCTGGCTGATCTCTGTCACAACTACTCAACCCTGCTATTTCCTATCACAAAGAAGTGATAGGAAATACATGTTGGAATAAGGGTCAGTTTTGATAAAACTTTATATTATCAAAATAAAATTTGAACTTTGTATAAATATGTCATAAAATATTATTCCTCTTGCTTTTTTTCACCTATCTAAAACATGATAGCCATTTTTAGCTTGTGGGCTGTACCAAAAAAAAGGAAGTGAACTGGATTTGGTCAGTGAAACATAGTTTGCTGACTCCTGTTTTAGAGGAAGATAATGTATTTAAGTCAAAAGAATGAATTTGGACTTTGAAGTCAGACATTGACAAGTTTAAATTTCATCTTTGCCTGTTGATATTAACATAACTTTGAGTGAATATGTAACCTTCCTGAGCTCTCATTTTCACATCTATAAAATGGGAATAGTGATACTGTTATGATGAACATGAAATTAGAGAGCATATGTGTTACTTAATGTAAAAACCTGCTGCCTATTTCCTGAAATAGCTATCCCTGGTATAGAGAAAAAGAGTAAATGAATAAAAGGTATTTGCGAGGCAACTAAAAACACTTTTATTGAATAATTGATTAGAATAATTAGAATACTTAGACTCTTTCAAAGCAAAACACTTGAAGTCCTGATAATGATTAAAGGATTCCTTTATGAATGTAAGTTATAATTTTATATAAAAACAGGCAAGTAAACAAAATAGATAGGCAATGCAGCAGACCTGGGTTCAATCCCTGTGTTGGGAAAATCCCCTGGAGAAGGGAATGACTACATTTTCCAGTATCTTGCCTAGAGAATTTATGGACAGAAGAGCCTGGTGGGCTATAGTCCATGGGATCTCAAAGAGTTGGACATAACGAGGCAACTAACACCACAGAGAACACATAGTCTTTAGAATTAAAACTATGAATAAAATTTGCTTGGGCATCTGTCAAGCCTTTATAAGGGCCATTTCTGGTGAGAGATATGGAATTTTAAATTTTTTGTGGGGAAATTTTTCTGCCTCTTGCATGTCTATTACTGTAATGATGTGTAATAGGTGTAATAAAAGTGGAAGTCTGGCTAGACGTAATCTTCACTCCTAGACGGGTGCTGCCTCTGCGTCCTTTTTCCTTTTCTGACCTGTGACATGGTTGTTGTTATTCAGTTGCCAAGTCGTGTCTGACTCTTTGGGACCCCATAGACAGCAGCACGCCAGGCTTCCTTGTCCTTCACTATCTCCCAGATTTTGCTCAAACTATGTCCATTGAGTCGATGATGCCATCCAACCATCTCATCCTCTGTGACATGGAGTGACCAGCAAAGAAGAAAAATGAATACCTTCCTCTCTCACTTTCTGGGCTCTCAGCTTTTTGCTTATTCCCCATGGCCTTCACCAAGATTTTCTGTTTATGCTGCCAAAATCTTGACTCTATGTGTACCGGTGATGAACAGAAATATGGAGACAGTTATGGAGGAGGAAAGAGTGACTTTATTTCTTTGGCAGGCAGAGGGGGAGTACCTCAAGAACTGTGCTCCTCTCCCTGGAGAATAGTATAGTGTACAGTGTTAGTTGCTCAGTCGTGTCTGACTCTGCGACCACATGGACTATGACCTGCCAGGATCCTCTGTCCATGGGGATTCTCCAGGCAAGAATACCTAAGTGGTTAACCATTTCCTCCTCCAGGGGATCTTCCCAACCCAGGAATCGAACCCAGGTCTTCTGCCTTGTAGGCGGACTCTTTACCATCTGAGCTACCAGGGAACTCTGGAGAATGGAAGAGGTTAAATAGTCAGATAGGGTTATGTGACAAGGATCAAGGTATTAGCATTCTTCTGCAAAGTGACAAGGTTAGGATGTGTGCAGGGTCTCAGGTGATTGGGTCTTCTAAACTTGATGAGTTTTTCTGGTTCCTTTAATCTCACCACATCTCAGGTGGTTTCCTGGCTGTTCTCTCTTGCTTAGCAGCTGTTTGAGTCTGCCCTTTGGAACTCAGGGAAGGTCATGAAGGTAGAGTCTTGCCTATAGAAGTGGGAGACCAAAAGGCCTCCATGCCCAAAACCCCACAGGGCCATGCTTGGCATCATCTAGAACTCAAGAATTTCCACCATTAACACAGAAAGAGCTGAACAGAACCCCCACTCACCCTTCCGCGGGCCACAGAATCTCCAGAAGTCTCCTGAACTCCCCATAATTCCAGTTTGCTATTTGTCCATTGGAGCTGTTCAGTCTTTTATACCCTTAGGTCAGGGGTCAGTAAAGGCTCAGATCTGGCTTCTCCCCTTTTCTGACCCTTTGCTTTACTGCTGAAGATTCTCCAGTGTTTCGAGGTTACTTGACTCTGACTGGGACGATTAAGGAGGGGCTGGCTGCCTTTTCAGTCTCCCTTGGCGTGTAAGGTTGTCCTATGTTTTCTTTTGTTTTGTAACACCTGGTTAAAGTCTCAGATTTGTTCATTATTTTGCATTCTTCCTCCACTTATTCTGAAAGACAAGGTTATTTTAGAGGAATGTTTTAGAATTTTACTGATCTGCATTTGAATACAAGTTCTACCTTTCACTGGTTGTCTTTAAGTCACCTAATGTCTCTAAGCATTGTTCATTTGTAAACCCAATGTAGTGTATTAAAACATACATCAATAGCTCCTTTTATTAATTGAGATGACATAGTGATACTTAGGGCATATTTAAAGTTTTCTAGCCAGACAGAGATGTATGTGCCTATTTTTTAAATGCATGATGTTAGCTATTTTGGATAGTTAGTAAATTATTCAAATAAAAAATAACTTGATATTCTAGTAGGTCAAGAAATAGTGTCACATTTCTCAATTGATTAAAACAAAAAAATAGGAACTTCTGCTTATTACCAGTTGTCTCATTGAGCCTCAGATCTTTGTGTATTAGTGAGGAAGCAATTTTCTCCTTCTGTATGAATGAGAGGGCTTCTCTGCTGGCTCAGAGGGCCAAGAATCCTGTCGTCTGCAATGCAGGAGACACTGGAGCCTCGGGTTCCATCCCTGGGTTGTGAAGATCCCCTGGAGAAAGAAATGGCAACCGATTCCAGTATTATGCCTAGAGAATCCCATGGGCAGAGGAGCCTGGTGGGCTACAGTCCATGGGGGTCTTAAAGAGTCAGACATGACTGAGTCACTAAGCAATGCACAATGAATGAGAAATTTAAGACATGGCCAGGATCATACAAGAAGAGAGTGGCAAAACCTGTAGTACACTGATTTTGTGCCAATTGATTTTATTTATCCTTGGAAACAAGTCTTTTTTCCTACTCGTCATTTTTAGGATCAACTTTTCTCCAAATGAATGCTTTCTAACGCTGATCATAGCATGCTTCTTGTATGTCAATTGATAACAACAAAACTTTTACCAGGAATTTCACTCATCATGTTACCAGATGAAACTTGGGTCTGCTAGCCTGCTGGGCAGCAAAGTCAATCTGCCGACACTGGGTTGAGGTGAAGGAGTACAGTGTTTACTATAGGGTGCCAAATAGAGAGAACAGACACCTCATACTCAAATGACCAGAAATCATAGATGGCTTTCAAGGGGAGGGTTTTTAAAGACAACATTTGAGATGCTGGTTGCAGCTCATGGACTTTCTTCTGACTGGTTGGTGATGAGGTAACCAGATGATGTTTCAGAAATCTGAATCATCAACCTTGTAGTTCTAAGTAGTCTCAAGTCTATGTCCTGTGGTCAGCCAGCAGTCACCATCCTCCATCTATCTGGGGTTTTCAGTTTCTGCAGAACAGCTCAAAGATATGCATCAGATTGTTATATTGTTTAAACTATCATTACTTTTCTCACTTTACCACTTTTCCTTTGTTTCTGTATTCTCTGACTTCCATAATAGTAATTGCTTGTGTCTGCTCTTTGGAACTCAGGGAAAGCCTAGGAGATTAAAGCCTTTTACTGCAAAAAATAAACCACTGTGGGGCTTTTGTATCTGGGAGGGCCCTTGGAGCTACTGCTTGGTTTCAGTCCCCCTTTTTCTTTGACACTCCTTAATCCTGACAGGAATAGAGACCAAATGGGAAAAAGGAATAAGACTTTTTGGATAGAGAGGTTCATCATGAACTTGGCAGGGGAACTTAGTTTCAGGGGAGTCATTTCACTAATAAAGTCTGATAATGATCTCCTATGTATGTGTGTGTGTGTGTGTGTGTGTGTGTGTGTGTGTGTGTGAGGGCAGGCTCAAGGCTCCCATAACAATTCTTTCATGTAAAAATAGGGTTATAGCTATGACTTCAGGAAATTTGCATACTTTGCATCTGTTTTAGTTACGTTGCAGTTTGGATTTGTGTAACAGGGAATAAAATAGCAACATGTTGGCTTGTAATGTTTTCTTTCCAGGTCGATGAGGAGATGCATAGATGCCTCAGCTGCCTCTTAAAATTGTGTTCTTTTTATTACTTTATTTTGCAAATACACATTAGAAATCCTATGTAAGGTTTTAAACATCTAAATATTTATTAAAAGAGAATTGTAATACTGTTTTTGTAAATAACAGTTTAAATGATTTTACTCTAATTATAAAATTAATCCCAGGACTCCCCTTCCTCCCTTATTTTTTATCAATATATACAGTAGATTCAACACTTAAAATTAGGATGACTATAGCTATGTTGGTTATTCTTTTTTTTTAATCACTGTAAGAATGGAAGTAGGTTGAGTTTAGAAAAACCTACATAATTAGAATGAGAAATTCATAAAGCTCAAGACATTTATAAGCTAGAAATGAATAAATATCATTTCATGACACATGATGCTTTGTCATATGGGATTTTTTTTTTCTGAAAGGATTTAAATTGAAAATAACAGTGAACTGAATCTTCAAGGAAACAACAAATTTCCAAGAAAGAGAAATTTAAAACAAAAGCCCCAGTATCTACACATATTAAATGAGAAATTAGTCTATTCTTGAAAATATTTGTGGTAGCTAAAATTTTAGCCACATAGTTTATTTGTTATTTGTTAAAGATATTCTTGGTCAGACTAATTCTCATTGTTGATTTTTAGTATTATACTTATAATGCATGGTGAATGGAATACAAAAGATTCAGTTTGAGCTTGTGTAAATATGTTCAAATTACTTCTTAAAGAAGACGATTTAAAATGGCTGCTAATCAAAAGGTTTCTCACTTGGCTATAATGTTCATTATTTAAAAATAAATGTAATTATCAGTAGTTCTTGAAATGTCACAGCTTGATCTTTGGTTGAAAATGTTTTTTGCTTTCCAGTTATATTTCACAAGGTGAAATAAATAGATAATTCCATGAAATTTCAAATATGCATGAGTCTTAAGGAAAGAATATAACACTTTCCTCATCTAATATAGAGACATTCATCTACAGGCGTACACATACCAATTCTCTACAAAGATCAGTTTTTCTGATTTTTCTCTTGAATGAGTACAAATTAGAGGTGAAGATTTTAAAACACACTTTAAAATCTATATGATGCAGTTATGGTGCCACTTTGCTTTTTTAAGGTGTAACATTTCAAGGTATTTTTTTTAATGTAAACCTGCCTTATTTTGTTGTTGATTTAAGACAAAGGCTGACTAAACAATTTCTAACCACTTTCAATTTTTGTTCAACAGTAATTTTACACGGATACCACATTTAGCTGGAACAGAACAAAACTTCCAGCTTGCAAAGCAAATTCAAGCTCAGTGGAAAGAATTTGGCCTGGATTCTGTTGAGTTAGCCCATTATGATGTCCTGTTGTCCTATCCAAATGAGACTCTTCCCAACTACATCTCAATAATTGATGAAGGTGGAAATGAGGTAAAAAGAAAGAAAAATTAAGCTCCCTCATCTTCTCTTTTGAAATATCTTCTGTAAAATAATGCCCTGTGCCATCCCCAAACGCTGGTAGAAGTCAATATTGACACTTGTGAATGATGCCTTTAATGGTGTTACTACTGGTGCCAACTCTTTCTTAATGATGTTTGAATTTAATGTGATGTTGAAAAGATTCTGAGAAATTGATGCTTGATGACAGTTGCTATTTTCTACTTTTTAACTATTGTTCACTAACAAAATATGATGTTAGTAAATTACAGCTAAATTAGATACACTTTTGATTGGTTCAGATGATAGAAGATCATGCATCAATTTGAGGATGCTAGGAAATTCAGAGATGTGCTGTTTGAGCCAGTATGTTTTTATTGGTAATTCATGATTGTATTTTCTGTGATCATGTATTCAGCTGTGTGCCTGGAACTTGGGTGTGGGCATTTGGAAGGAAGAGAATTTGGAGAGAAATACTATAGAATTATATCTATAATAAAAATTTGCAATCTTGTTTGCTAGTTAGGGCACATAATTGGAAAAGAAGATGATACAGATAATTGAGATATTTCATATCATGATATATATTCAGTATGAAAGCTCATAAAATATAACTCATATATTCATCACTATTTGCCTTAGACCTACCATATTCCTATCTAAAATAGCCCTTTTCTTCTCGATAGCTTTATTCACTCCCCTTTGCTGGACCTTCTAAATTGCATATAGCTTCAAATGTATCCAGTTTGATTGGTCAGCTCAGAATGTCATGTGATTTTTGTACATAAAAAGTTTTAATCACCTCCTCTGATTGACTAATGGATCAGCCTTTTCTTAATGATTAATATGCTATTTTGCAGTCAGTGATATAATCCCATGGTAAATTTCCTAATATGAGTTGAAACTTTCCATATTTACTCTTTTAAATTATAGTAGTTAATACAGTTTAACTTTAAAAAATACTATCAAGCCATTTCAAAATTATAAAAATATTTTTTAAGGTTGATATGGGGGATACCAATATACTCCATAAGATTCCATAACCTTAAAAAAAAAAAGATTCCATAACCTTTATAAGTGGTGGCATAGCTATATAATTATTAAAAGTCTTTAAAAGTATATTTAGGAAGAGTATTTGATCACATAATAAAATATCAGTAATATTAAAAAAAAATATGTGGAAATGGTCGGGGAGGGAGAGAGTGAGACGAATGGAGAAAGTAGCATCAACATGTATACACTATTGGGTGTAAGAGGGGCAGCTGGTGAGAAGCCCCTATGTCGCACAGCGAGCCCAGTCTGGTGCTCTGTGATGACGTGTATGTGTAATTAAGACTGATTTGCATTGTTGTATGGCAGAAATCAATACAACATTGTAAAATTAAAAAAATTAAAAAATAAATATTAAGGTTAAAAAAAAATACATGTACTTAGGGAAAAAAGATACATGTACTTAAACCAAATTTGATCACTCAAATTTGGTGATTGTGTACAATGAGGAAAATAACAAACTTTCACTTTTCTTCTCTTTTTTTCCTCTGCATTTCCCAGTTTCATCCCTACCTTTGCTTTTATTCTATTGCATTATTCATTTTTGCTATTATAAGCATTTATGAAATTTCTAAAGCTTGTCCCATCATATGAACATATAATGTAGAAGCTTCATTTTGGAGGTTTTCCTGAATGGGGTTAGCTGCCAAAAGCTTATTAACTTTTTTGAAAGTTGTATCAATTCAGTTTTGTTCTTTTCCCAGTTATACCTGCACGTGAATACTCACACCGTTCTCCGAAGGGCCTTGCTTTTTTCCTATTTCCCTCTTCCCCGAGGGAATCACTGTTCAGCCCTGAGTTGATTCTTTTGATATTTACCTCTGCTTCTTTAAATGATGTGCTTGTGTTGCTTGTGTTTCAGACTCAGGCACTTTCTTTTGACCTTGGGACAGCTCAGCTCTATTCTTACCCCTCTGCCCCAACTACAGATGCTCTCTTACTGGGTCCCCATCTCCCAGATCAATTAACGTGACTCACCGTTCATAGCCAAGCTAGGTAAACTGCGAACTTTACTGTCCTGCATGACACAGACATGTTCCCCTTCCCACAGACAACAAATATGATTAATATTTTATGGATTCTACCAGAAATGTTTTCAACACATATTTATGAATTATTTCTCTTATTTATGTAGGAACAATGTGCCATATAGTTTGAACTATATATATATATTGCCTTTTTATGTTGTAAAAGTTAAATAGAAATTTGTAAACCAAAATTATTTTAGTTATACTCAAAATACATAGTTTGAGGCTATGTTAGTGAATGTTGGATAGTGAACATTGCTCACTAGTGTATTGTCTGTCTTTGATAAAGTCACCCAAAAGAGTCATTTCCTTGACTGTAAGAAATTTTTCCCAGTTGGAATAACTCATAAACTTGATGTGAAATCCACCTGCTCAGTGATGCTGTAAAATTGAAGGTTACCATAAAGGCAAATCAAGTGAGACCAGCTTGAGTACTCCCTTGGCTGAAAGACTTGCTGATGTGATGACTTTGTCTTGAGATGGATTTTTATTGCACTTTAGCATAGTTTTTCTTAGAATTTTTCCCAGTGATTCAGTTCAGTTTGTTCTCTATGTGGACCAGAGGAAAATTACAGGAAAAATGGAAGATGTGGGAATTTTTGAAGAGTAATAGTTGATTTGGTTTCATTTTAGATTCTGTCAGCATCTGAAGTAGGTAACTGGTGCTTTAGTCCAGTGTCAGCTCAGATTCACTGTCCATCTCCCAGCACCTTTAAATTACTGCACTGGCCAGGACCTATAGTTTAATATTGAAAGGAAGTGAAGACAGCACGTGTCCTTGAGTTGAATGTCTTTAATGTTTCACCTTAATTTTGATATTTATGTCAGGTTAACCTTAATTCAGGGCTTTCCAGGTGTCACTAGTGGTAAAGAACCCCCTTTCCAATGTAGGAGACATAAGAGACGTGAGTTCGATCCCTGGGTCGGGGAGATCCCTTGGAGGAGGGCATGGCAACCCACTCCAGTATGCTCTCTGTCCATGGGATCACGGAGATCGGAGTCAACTCAATCAACTTAGCACAGTGTGCACTAATTCACTTTTCAAGTTCACGAAGACTTTTTTGTCATGAATTTATATTGAATTTTATCAGAACTTTTTTCTTTTTCTGGCTAATTTTTGAGATGAGCATATAAGTTTTCTTTTTCATAATGATGATTGTAATAAATGATATAATAGATTAATTTACATTTTTGAAATATATAATATTAGTCTGTAGTAGAGTTTTCAACTCATATCTGTATACATTTATTATATTGATAGCATGTTTGGCCTGTATTTCTGCAATTTGCTTATTTGGTTATAATTTCTAGCTTATACTTGCCTTATAAAATGAGTTTTTAATCTCTGAAATAGGTTGTGTTATATTTAAAAAATCTTTTAGTATTTCAAATCAAAGGAAAATCACTTGGTTTTGATACTTTGTTTTATGGAAGATTTTAAGCTACTGATTCAATTTCTTTTTTGTTATGGGACTATTTAGATTTGTTTAAAATGCACTCGTATGTCAGTTTTAATTATTTTTTAAATGCATTTTTCCATTTCATCTAAGTTTTCAATTATTGGCATAGTTCTTCCTAGTACTTTCTTACTATCTTTTTTGCAAGATCTATAGATATGCCTGTTTTTCTTTGTTTTGAATTCTGTCAATTTCTACATCTTGTAGTTTGGAGCATTTCCATTAGATATAAACAGTATTTGCTTAGTGTTTCTTTTTCTGCATAGTTACTTTCAGACTTACTGTGATCATATGTTTAAATCACTTCTTGAAAAATGGTACACAGTTGAATTTATCTCGTCTGACATACTAAGCTTTTTTTAAAAATTAAAAAAATTGTTATTACTGACTTACAGTAATAATACTTACATGATTTTTACTTTTACTTTTTCCCCCTAATGTTCCTTTTTCTTTTCTTTTTTTTTTGTTTTCTTCTTTTTTGGGGGTGGGGTAATGGTTAATTTTATTAATTATATTTCTTTTAGTAGTTTGGAAAGTAAAATAATATTGATTCCCACTTAACAGTGTCAGTGATACACTTGAAAAATAATATTATGTTTGGTTAGAATTGAATTTAACCTTTAATTTGTTTATAAGTAATTAGCTTAGCATTTTTATAAGTGAGTAATAATACTGTTGCTGCTGCTACTAAGTTGCTTCACTCGTGTCCGACTCTGTGCGATCCCATAGATGGCAGCCCAGCAGGCTCCCCCGTCCCTGGGATTCTCCAGGCAGGAACACTGGAGTGGGTTGCCATTTCCTTCTCCAATGTGTGAAAGTGAAAAGTGAAAGTGAAGTCACTCAGTCGTGTCCGACTCTTAGTGACCCCATGGACTGAAGCCCACCAGGCTCCCCCATCCATGGGATTTTCCAGGCAAGAGTAGTGGAGTGGGGTGCCATTGCCTTCTCCAACTAATAACACTACATGATGTTATTGTTTTATTTGGAAAGTGAAGTTTTCCTTCTAAATCAAAAGCTGGTGCTTGTAGAACCTCTAAGTCTGTAGGTTATTCACCCCATGAACTCCTCACAGCTTCTAGCACAGGACTGGCTGTTTGATCTGCATCTTTAAAATACAGAAGTCTTGATTAACCCTCTCCTGGCGAAAGAGATGATATATATTTCTTTGCTTGATTGTAGTAACTGAGCTTTACCTGATTTGCTTCTGATTTATGTTTTGCTTCTCTAGATTTTTAACACATCGTTATTTGAGCCGCCTCCTCCCGGATATGAAAACGTCTCAGACGTCGTGCCACCCTTTAGCGCCTTTTCTCCACAAGGAATGCCGGAGGTAAAAACGCGTGTGATAAAAGTAACAAACAGAACTTCCTTGCACATGCAGGCAATAATTAAAGGGGTATTGAGGTTTTTGATGTAATCCAAATTTATGTTTTTCTACATTTAAGAAATAGAATTTCTTAGGAATAAGAAGGAATATACATTTTGTGTTCATAGTGTTTTTTAGGATAAAATTTACCGCACTGAGATGGGGGAAATCCAAAGTGTACATTTATTTGACAAATGCATACACCTATGTAATTAAAGCACCATCTACATGTAGAATATTACTGTCACTTCAGAATGTACTTCTAAGCCCGTTCTCAGTCAGCCCCACACACTCCCAAGGCAGTCATTGTCCTGATTTTTTTTTTTTTGGCCACCTTTGATTAGTTTTGCCTATACTAGAAATTCATATAAATGGAATTGATAGCATTTGTCTATTTTCTTTCACTAAGTATAGCACCTGTGAAAATCTACATATTTTGCATTTATCCATAGGTTTTTCTTTTTTATTGCCAATTAATTTCCATTATATGAAAATACTACATATCTTGCTACCATTGGAAGACCTGGATTAATTTTATAAAGAAATTGAATGAGAATTTGAAATTGTTGCCATTTTCAAATGAAGAGTACAAATATCCTTTTTAGAAAATTAATATGGTTTACTTAATAAGGCAGTGTGCATATTTATTATCTGAGTTTTCACAGTAGATCCCCAGATTCTTGGATAGTACTTTGTTTATTATAAGAAAGCTAAACTTGAGAGAGTTGAATATAATTTATTATAGTCTTTTGAAATATTACCTCTCCTGCTATAGTATTTGACATCAGGTAGATTCAGTTTTGGACATACAGAGTTTGAGGTACCTAGGATATTCCAAGAAGTTGTAATATTGAAGTATCACTCAATAGAGAGATAAACACTTGACTATCATCAGAAACATCCCTAATAAAAAATTTGCATTTAGAACTGAATTGATACTTAAAGCTCCAAGGAAATAGCAGCCCACTCCAGTGTTCTTGCCTGGAGAATCCCATGGACAGAGGAGCCTGCAGGCCACAGTCAAAGGGGTTGCAGAGTCAGACACAACTGAGTGACTGAAACACTTCACCAGTCAGTTAATATTTATTGCAAAAACATAGGCACTAAACCTATGTTTTTAATTAATTATTAAACCTATGATTTAATATTAGGCAATGCTATATTTTTTAACATGTAAAGTTAAAAAACATACTATTTTTTATTTTTTTCTAGTGCATTTGATTAACATATTTAAAAACTCACAGGTTTAGAATATTTTCTACCAGTTGTATGAAGTTTGCTTCAAATGAGTAGTTAACACCATAGTTAATGGCACAATATTAGAAAAATTCTCCCCCCAATTTGCACATAAATAGGTCGCTTACAGTCATTATAGTCATTTCATAATTGACATGACATAGAAATAAAGGATATAAAAGCTGGGAATGAAGAGATAGTATATTTTAGATCTCAGGTGTCTAGAGATTACATAGACTTTACCTTCTGGGTAAGGCACATTACCATCATGGGTCCATGTAAAATTCCTAATTTAATTTCTTTCCTTTCATCTTTTATCCTTATTTTCAATCTCATTCCTCTTCTCCACATCCCCTATACCCTGCCACCATCTGTAATGTATTTATACTTTTAGGAATGTATGTGTTCTTATAAAAACATGGGCTTATTAGCGATTGGTATATTTTGAATATATGCAAATAGTATTATACCTTAGATCTTGGTCCATGACTGTTGTCAATTACCTATTTTTAAAAAATCTATTTTATGTCAGAGTAGTTTGTTACTTTTTACTGTTGCATAGTATCCCATGTTAATGTGCACACCGCATGTAGCTTATCCATTCTCTTATTGGCAAACAGGTTGTTTGCCTCTAAATCTAAATTACTGCAAACAGTGTTGGAGAGCATGTGCTCATACATGTCCCTGTATGGGCTTGCAAGGCTTTCTCTGTGTACAGTAAACCAGTTGTGGGATTGCTGGTTTGTAAGTAATAGTTGATTTCACAGTGTTCAGACTGCAGCAGTTTATTGCTCCCTGCAGCACTACGTATGAGTATTCCTTTTTCCTCACATTTTCATCAACAATTGAGGTTATATAACTTTCTAAATTTTGCCTATCTAATTGTGTTGTTTTGTTAGTTTGGGGTTCTCAAGGCAAGAATACTGAAGTGGTTTGCCATTTTCTTCTCCAGTGAACCATGTTTTGTCAGAACTCTCCACCATGACCCATTCATCTTGTGTGGCCCTATCCCCTGAAAGTGAAAGTGGCTCAGTCGTGTCTGACTCTTTGCAACCCCATGGACTATACAGTCCATGGAATTGTCCAGGCCCGAATACTGGAGAGGGTAGCTTTTCCCTCTGCATGGATCTTCCCAACCCAGAGATCGAACCCAGGTCTCCCACATTGCAGGTGGATTCTTTACCAGCTGAGCCACAAGGGAAGCTCAAGAATATGGAGTGGGTACCTATCCCTTCTCCAGGGGATCTTCCCGAACCAGGAATTGAACTGGGGTCTCCTGCATTGCAGGCGGATTCTTTACCAACTGAGCTATCAGGGAAGTTTCGCTTCAGGTTATTTGAAATTAGCAATTCAACAATGTCTGTAATTATAGTTTAATTCAGTGGTTCTTGAGCTCAGCTTATATCACAATAATCTAGAGGGCTTATAAAACACAGATTCTGATTCACACCCCCTAAATTTCACTAGATCTTGGGTGAAGTCTGAGAGTTTGTTTCTGGTAAGATCCTAGATGGTGTTGACTCTGTGGGTTCAGGAACCATGCTTTGAGAACCACTGGTCTTATGTCCCAATTCTGTCTGTATTAACAAGAGCAGGAAGATGGAAGCTTGAAAGAAGTGGAAATTCTAACAGTGCAACATTGTTAATTATTTCCAGTTATAGAACAATTGTGCAGTGTAAATTTTACAAGAAGGTCATTGTCTGAAAACAAAGATTTTTTCTAACTAGCAATGACAGCTCGCATTTGTGAAGTGCCAAGAGGACCTGTCTGTCCACACTTGTTTTCATTTTCAAAGTTTTCTGTCATTTTCAAACTAATTTCTTCTCCTGTCCCTTCTCCATCCTAATTTGTTTTGTGAGATGTGCAGATTAAAAGGTAGCTACAATTTACAGGCATTTAAAGAAGTAGTCAGCTTTCCCAAAGTTGGTGATATTAAATATAATAAATTTCAAGTAGAACATTTATGCTAAATAGAATTCACTGGAACCAAATTGGTTAATGGCTGTGTATTCACAGTTAGAATAAAAGTGTGCTCTAGAGAAGGCTAATGATTATAAACCAGACATACAGTGCTGCCATCAATAGTTTATTAATCTTGCATCGATCTTGGGAAGAAAAATAGTAGCTAAAAGTAATCCTTTTCCTGAAGCAAAGATTCATATGTCACTTTCTCAATAAGCTTTCTTCATTTTTTTTGGAAATGGCAGGTAACTGAGTACAAGGTCCATGTTTGCTTACTATATTTAAACTTAGATTTTTTTTCTCTACAGAACTCAGCACCTTTTAATATTGTATACAATTTGCTTATTACTTTTATGATTTATTGTCTCTGCTTTCCACATGAACATAAGTTTCTTCAAAGACAGGGATGTCTGCAGTTCCTGGAATGATATGTCTTCAACATATTTTTGGAATGAATCTGAGAGTCAGCTTGGAAACAACCTTACTGCAATACATTATAAATTTGTTGTGCACATGTTATGAGACAGTCAAAGAGGAAAAGAATAACCAAAATAAAATGATGGGACACTAGAAATAGTGTGAGACAGGAATAGGATATTAGAAATAGTGTAGGATGGGGGACTTCAAACACTTGGGTATGTAAAGACTTTCCAAAGGCAGATATAGGATCATTTAAAATAAAAGTTGCATTATTTGTTTCTCAGTGGACTCTTCATGGAATTGAGAACTAGCCTGTGGTAAGGCTCTGCTGCTCCCCTGTTTCCACCGCCCTGATTTACAAGTATTTATTTCTTATTTTATGAATGAGAGACATCACTCATCTATCCTGAAACATATCTCTGAGTTGTAAAAAAAAAAAAAAAAATCTCTAGGCCTCCAAACAAAGAGATGCTAGTGAAAGCTTCTAATAGCTAGATAACAGAAATTTGTCAAGTCAAATGGTTTACAGTTGAACAAAATTAAAGATGGGTCTAATTGAGTTTCCAGCTAATACCATTAGAATTAACTTGGATAACAGATCAGTGTGAGATATAGGGGTTGTAACTTGGAAAGAGTTAAAATGATTCAGGGAAAATTCTATAACGAGTTTTTTTTCCCACTCATATCCTAAAATTTCTCAAAACATGTCTAACAGTGAGAAATGTGAATAAAACTGATAGTCCTGACTTATTCTGGAAATAATTTATTCATCCATAGATCCATGACCTCATGTTTTAACATCCCATAGTACTAAAAGTTGTATTTCAAGCAAAATTTTATTCATAGACGTTGTTTATAAAAGTTTGTAATGATGCTTAGACTCACTTTGATACTGCTAATAATTATAATAGCAAGTTACTTGAAGAATTTTCTTGTACAGCTTGTCATAGGAAATAAATATTTTTAAACACTATACACATGCGTTCTTAATCAAGACAGGTTTGGCAGTGATTAAGATTTACAAGCATTGTCCGGATTTATAGGCAGCAGAAACTGAAATGGAATTTGCCATGCTAGATGTTAATTAAGGAGTGTTCTCTTGGGATCAATATCTGTGGCAGGGAGGGGAAGGAAGCTGGAACAGACAGAGGGAGAAATTGCATCTCAATGCCAGCTCAAGGACAGCCTCAGCTGACCCAGTGGGCTTCTCTGGAGTCAGAACAGCCCTTCAGAATGCCCTGAGCTGGACAAAGATGTCCAGATTTTTCTGTTCCCACACTGATCAGTCATTGAACATGTGTATCCTGGAAGAGCATGACCTTGAGCAGAGTGGCTGTGTGTAGCTGATTGTGAGCAAGCGCTGACTTTGAAGACGGCCTGCAGAGAGCCTTCCTTCTCTGGAGCGAGGATGTCTTCAATGAAGGGGAATCTAGGCAGGACACCCTGTGTCCTGTAGAAACATATTTTACCTTAGTATATAGTAAGATGCTTTAGGCAAGGGGGAAAATACGAGTTCAAGGAGAAAACTTGTTGATAAAATTCTGACTGAAGAGTGTGGCTTTACAATGAATGTTGAATAATAAGTCATTATAGTACTTAAATTCTTTTGGATATAAATAAAAGAGGTAAAATTGCTTCTGAAAATGTTAATATTTATAATATGCTGGAAATTGCATTCTTTATGGCAACTTAAAGATATGACAAACAATTTCAGATCTGAACCTAAAAATAAAGGAGAGATGCATTGCTTTTCAAAATTAATTTAAGGAGTAGGTAAGCAAAAAAAAAAAGTGTGTGAAGAACCCTGATCTAATCTTAACAGGCCATTTTACAAGTGATAATGTTGAGACTCCAGAGACTTGTTTGTGATCATTATAATGATATGAAGCCAAATTTGTAAAGTAGTGGTGTTACCTGACAATTATTTCTTACCTGGTTGTGTGAAGATGCATTGTGAATGTACTTCCAAGAGAATAAAGCTCTCATCAAGGGCTTTTTAGCCTAGGGTACCTGGCTCCCTCCAGATTGCATGGGGCAGCGTGTATGTGCATTTTTCTGGGGAATGCTTCTCTATAGTTTTATAGTCACTACAGAGGAGACATTGACATAAACAAAACAATATTTAATTCATAAGTCTTTACCCAGCTAATTGTCTTCTCAATTCAAGTTCATTTCTCCCTTGAATCTCTTATCAGAGGCTTTTTTGACCCTCTTATGTACTCTTGCTTCTTTCCTCTTTCAAAAACGCAAAACAGTCTTCATGCCAAGAAATCTCTGTTATGAAATCTTTCTTGTACTAAGTCATCTATGTTCTCAACAGGGTGACCTAGTGTATGTTAACTATGCACGAACTGAAGACTTCTTTAAACTAGAGCGGGACATGAAAATCAATTGCTCTGGGAAGATTCTGATTGCCAGATATGGGAAAATTTTCAGAGGAAATAAGGTAAAAAAACCCCAAATTCTCTTTTATTCTTTTCAATAAAAATAAAGTTATATTGTATCTTGGGCTTTCCTGGTGGCTGAGACGGTAAAGAAACTGCCTGCAATGCAGGAGACCTGGGCTCAATCCCAGGCTCAGGAAGATCCCCTGGAGAGGGGAATGGCTACTCACTCCAGTGTTTTTGCCTGGGGAATCCTGTGGACAGAGGCGCCTGGTGGTCTACAGCCCATAGGGTCACAGAGGGTCAGACTGAGGGACTAACACTTTCTGTTTTTCATATTGTATCTTAACATGGGTAGAACCACATCCTTAAAATTTTTTGATGACCATGATCTTCCCATACTCTTTACCATTCCTGCCTAATGGGGAGGGTACATGTGCTAGTTTATAGGCAGGTTTTAAACTGGGTCATTGGAATTTGGCCAGTGTTCAAGGAGAACAGCTCAGGTTTTTCCATACCTACACATTGTCCCTGTGGTCTAGAAAGTAGCGTGCATTGGATTTACTATTAGTCTTTAGTATCTTTAAATATTATCTTTGGAAATATTTACTAAATTAAATTTTGGTGTTAATTCTTTGTTAGAGGTAATGAGACAAGCCAGTCTATGCACAGCAGTTTTGAAAGTTACCAGCACTTGAACTGGGGCTTCCCAGGCAGCACAGTGATCGCTGCATGGGAAGATTGTGCCTGCTAATGCAGGAGATGCCACAGATAGGGGTTCGATCGCTGAGTTGAGAAGATCCCTTGGAGTGGGAAATGCAGCCCACTCCAGTACTCTTACCTGAGAAGTCCCATGGACAGAGGCGCCTGGTGGGTTTAGGCAGGTTTTAAACTGGGTCATTGGAATTTGGCCAGTGTTCAAGGAGAACAGCTCAGGTTTTTCCATACCTACACATTGTCCCTGTGGTCTAGGAAGTAGCGTGCATTGGATTTATTATTAGTCTTTAGTATCTTTAAATATTATCTTTGGAAATATTTACTAAATTAAATTTTGGTGTTAATCCTTTGTTAGAGGTAATGAGACAAGCCAATCTATGCACAGCAGTTTTGAAAGTTACCAGCACTTGAACTGGGGCTTCCCAGGCAGCACAGTGATTGCTGCATGGGAAGATTGTGCCTGCTAATGCAGGAGATGCCACAGATAGGGGTTTGATCGCTGAGTTGAGAAGATCCCTTGGAGTGGGAAATGCAGCCCACTCCAGTACTCTTACCTGAGAAGTCCCATGGACAGAGGCGCCTGGTGGGTACAGACCGTGGGGTCACAAGGAATCAGATACACTTGATTTTTTTTCCTCTTGTGGGAAATTAATTTAAAAAATATTCTCTTTCAACCATAGAAGAAATGGGAATCTCGTCTGTGAAATCTACTTGCTTATTGTGCTTCTAGACTAGAGGAAGGAAACAACGGGTACCTGTTACCACTGACATGTACATTTAAAAAATCTTCTCTGAGAGCTAATCCAGCCCTGGAAGCTAGTTTTTAGAGTTTGCGTAAGAAAAAGACAAAACCAGTTCTCTGTGAGATGTCCTTTGTTGTAAGCATAAGGATTAAAGATAAGGATTGAAGATAAGCTTTAGCTACTTATTTAAGTGTAATTTCAAATAACCAACCTAAAATAAGAAGCACTGTTTTCCAGGTTAAAAATGCCCAGCTAGCTGGGGCCAGAGGGATCATTTTGTACTCAGACCCTGCTGATTACTTTGCTCCTGGGGTGGAGGCCTATCCAGATGGTTGGAATCTTCCTGGAGGTGGTGTTCAGCGTGGAAATATCTTAAATCTTAATGGTGCAGGAGACCCTCTCACACCTGGCTACCCAGCAAATGGTGAGTGATCTTCAGTCATCACAGAAACTTTTAACATTTTGAAGTAATTTTATCAAAAGATTTCCTTTGACAAAAGGATAAAGTATGTCATTTTCTTACTGTCTTTGCATCTAAGAATAAATTAAAGGGTTTTGAACTTGAAAAATTACTGGTTTGGGTCCTTTTATCCCTTGTTTGGAACCCTTGCATCTGGTAGGTTTTGAAATGCAGACATTATCAGATATTTACAAGTAAGATGGTGCATATACCTTATTGCATAACATTCACATAGGAAGCTGGGACAAAATGTGGGAAGCAAACATGTAAATATTTTATAGTAAAATGTATGAATAATCATTTTAAGCAGAGGGTACATAAATAATATAAATAGTCATGTCTGTTCAAGTCAGATCTTGCTGCCAAATTAGTTTATATCAGATCATGTTTTGTGCCAAGTATTAACAAATGCCCTCTCCCAATTAATGGATTTCACAATTTTTCCAGTTCAGTTCAGTCACTCAGTTATGTCCGATTCTTTGCGACCCCATGAACCGCAGCACGCCAGGCCTCCCTGTCCAACACCAACTCCCGGAGCCTACCCAAACTCATGTCCATTGAGTTGGTGATGCCATCCAACCATCTCATCCTCTGTCATCCCCTTCTCCTCCTGCCTTCAATCTTTCCCAGCATCAGGGTCTTTTCAAATGAGTCAGCTCTTTGCATCAGGTGGTCAAAGTATTGGAGTTTCAGCTTCAACGTCTGTCCTTCCAATGAACACTCAGTATTGTTTTCATTTAGGATGGACTGGTTGGATCTCCTTGCAGTCCAAGGGACTCTCAAGAGTCTTCTCCAGCACCACAGTTCAAAACCATCAATTCTTTGGCACCCAGCTTTCTTTATAGTCCAACTCTCACATCCATAAATGACTACTGGAAAAACCATAGCCTTGAGTAGATGGACCTTTGTTGTCAAATTAATGTCTCTGCTTTTTAATATGCTATCTAGGTTGGTCATAACTTTCCTTCCAATGAGTAAGCGTCTTTTAATTTCATGGCTGCAATCACCATCTGCAGTGATTTTGGAGCCAAAAATAAATAAATAAAGTCTCTCACTGTTTCCACTGTTTCCCCATCTATTTGCCATGAAGTGATGGGACCAGATGCCATGGTCTTAGTTATCTGAATGTTGAGCTTTAAGCCAACTTTTTTACTCCTCTTTGACTTTCATCAGGAGGCTCTTTAGTTCTTCACTTTCTGCCATAAGGATGGTGTCATCTGCATATCTGAGGTCATTGATATTTCTCCTGGCAATCTTGATTCTAGCTTGTGCTTCCTCCAGCCCAGCGTTTCTCATGATGTACTCTGCATATAAGTTAAATAAGCAGGGTGACAATATACAGTTTTTTAAAATTTCTAATTGTAAATAAGGGACAGTAAAACAAATTCTACAAATTCCTGAAATGGCATATTTTGAATAGAGAGTCTGGAAAATGCTTATTGTGTCATTACTGTGTAAAGACAATAGTGATCCCTTTCAAGGAGTGTTTCAAAAATGCTAGCTTTTTAATGCATTAACGACCCTATAGGCTTTGTTGTACTCTTATCTCTACTTGACAGGAGGAATGTGAAACCATAAGGAAGTAAACAGTCTGCCTTGTTCATCACACCACTAAGTGAGGAGTGGGGATTCAAATTCAGGTAGTTTGGCTCCAGAGTCCATGTTTTTGTCTCATGCTGAAATGCCCTGCTGTAAAACAGTAGATCATTAACAAAGGAGCTTGGAGCATATTTTTAATGTACTCAGCTATTTGATGACATTTACAAAAATCTGTCATCATTTAGTTTGTGTGGTTTAAAATTAACAAAGGAAAATAAATAAATAAATTAACGAAGGTTTATAACTTGGATAAAGTAGGTTACCAAAGTATTGGTGGCATTTCCATATTTATTTTTCATCTTGGATCCTTCTATCTAATTATAGACTCCTTTAAAGCTTATGTGTTTGGCTTTGTAAATTTTTGAGCATAGTACATTGTCATAGTTTTTTTTTAAGCAATACATATTATCCTGTGATAAAATCATATGTCTACCTGAACTTCACTGACTGAGCCTTTTTATTCCCAAGTTTTGAAAAATGCAACTTCTCCTAAACCTAGTTTGTTATACAAAGCTAAAATTATGAACATAAAATAATATTAACTGGAATACTTCTGTTTACTATGCTCAGATTTAAAAGATGGCATTGTAGAAATGTTATTCCTATGAGGCTTCTATTTGTTGAATTCCCATTTGTGCCTTATTCTTTCTTATTTTTCTTTTAATTTCACTCTTTATTATGGAATAGGTCTGACACACAAAAATAGAGATAATAAATGCCATTTTGTCAATCTTATTTTATCTATTCATTGTCCTTTTTTTGATTATTGCTCTAAATTTAAAAAATTCCATGTAATGTATTATTATGTCATTTTGCCATAAAAAGACTAGCTTTTACAATCACCTATACCAAGAGAATTCCAGAATAACATTTACTTCTGCTTCATTGACTACACTAAAACCTTTGACTGTGTGGATCACAACAAACTGCGAAAAATTCTGAAGGAAATGGGAATACCAGACCACCTTACCTTCCTCCTGAGAAACCTGTATGAAGGTCAAGAAGCAACATTTGGAACCAGACATGGAACAACAGACTGGTTCCAAATCGGGAAAGGGATACATCAAGGTTGTATGTTGTCACCCTGCTTATTTAACTTACATGCAGAGTACATCATGCAAAATGCCAGACTAGATGAAGCACAAGTTGGAATCAAGATTTCTGGGAGAAATATCAATAACTTCAGATATGCAGGTGACACAACCCTAGTGGCAGAAAGCAAAGAGGAACTAAAAAGTCTCTTGAAGGTGAAAGCGGAGAGTGACACAGCTGACTTAAAACTCAACATTCAAAAAGCTAAGATTATGGCATCTGGTCCCATCCCTTCATGGCAAATAGATGGAAACAGAGGCAGATTTTATTTTCTTGGGCTCCAAAATCTCTGCAGATGGTGACTGCAGCCATGAAATTAAAAGACGCTTGCTCCTTGGAAGGAAAGCTATGACAAACCTAGACAGCATATTCAAATGCAGAGAAATTACTTTGCCAACTAAGGTCTGTCTAGTCAAAGCTCTGGTTTTTCCAGTAGTCATGTATGAATGTCAGAATCAGACAGTAAAGAAGGCTGAGTGGGGAAGAACTGATGCTTTTGAACTTTAGTGTTGGAGAAGACTCTTGAGAGTCTCTTGGACAGCAAGGAAGTCAAACCAGTCAGTCCTATAAGAAATCAACCTTGAATATTCATTGGAAGGACTGATGCTGGAGCTGAAGCTCCAATACTTTGGCCATATCATGTGAAGAGCCAACTTATTGGAAAAGACTTTGATGCTGGGAAAGATTAAAGGCAGGAGGAGAAGGGGATGACAGAGGACAGGATGGTTGGATGGCATCACTGACTCAATGGACATGAGTTTGAGCAAGCTCTGGGAGATGGTGAAGGACAGGGAAACCTGACATGCTGCAGTCCACAGGGTTGCAAAGAGTTGGACACAACTGAGCAACTGAACATTAACAATAAATTTCTTGTGATTTGAAATTTTGGAGGAAAAAAATGGAAGAATAGCCTTTATTTTTCTTAAATCTGGAGAAATGACAGGATGTGTCTTTTTATTTTGAGGTAGAGTTTACATATAATAACATGTACAGATCTTAAGTGTTAATTCAATAAATTAAAAAGTTGTATATATCTGTGTCACTCTAAGATATAGGACATTTCTGTGACTTCAGAAAGTTCTCTGGTGCCCATTTTTGGTCAGTTTTTACCATAGCCTCACCCCAAGAAGCAGCCATTTTCTGATATCTTTGGTCATTCATTAGTTTGGTTTTGAACTTCATATAAATTGAATCAGATTATATCTGTTCTTTTGTTTGTTGACAGAAAATCAAGTAGCAGTCAAGCTAAGAAGAAAGAAAAGGGAATATTATTTATGCCAAACTGAGGAGTATAACCCAGGGAACAGATTCTCAGAAGCTCTGAGAACTATTCCACTGGTTGGGAGTTAGAGATGCAGTTTTATACGTTTTTGAGAAAAGAATTTATGCATCATACTGACAGATTAGACTTGTACATAAAATTGACCGAGGATATTTTGATCCAGTAATGCATGTATAGAATAAGCCTTTGATCAATATGACTCCATGTATGGTATGAAAAAGAAGTATTAACCTTAAAATGACAATACTGAAATCTGATGAAAGGATCCATTTTTCTCAGAGGTTGATATTATTCTGCTTTGAGGAGGTCTGGTTAATGTACGATGCAGATGCACATTGCACACTTGCAAAGACTGCCACAAACAGAGCATGTTATCCTTTTTCCTTCTTAGTTTAATTGTCTTGTCATTGAAAAATTTGTGATTTTTTTTTTTGCTCATCATTTGTCTTGCTGCATTCACTCAGTATAAGTAGAGATTAGTCATCTTATTATGTGTATTGATAGTTCCTTCCCTTTAATTGCTGAATAGAATTCTATTATGGGACTCCTCTATAAATTGCTTATTCATTCTCCTATTTATGAGCAGCAGGATGGTTCCCAGTATTGGCTACCCAGATTCAGGTGCTATGAGCAGTTTTGTGCAGGTCTTTCTGTGAACATATGTTTCTGTCTTTCTTGGGTAAATACTAAGAGTGTAGTTGTTGTGCCATAGGGTATAATTTTCTGCATAACATTAATTTTCAAAGAAGTTGTTTAAAGTGACTGTAAAGAGTATATACAGTCTTACGAGAAATATATGAGAGTTTCAGCTGCACCACATTTTTGTTAACATTTGAAGTTGTCTTTTTAATTTTAACAGTTCTAGTGTATGCAATTTAAAAGTGTGTTTAGTGATTTGGCTCAGTTGGTAAAGAATTCACCTGCAATGCAGGAGACCTGGGTTTGATCCTTGGGTTGGGAAGATCCCTTTGAGAAGGGAAAGGCTACCCACTCCAGTATCCTGACCTGGAGAATTCCATGGACTGTATGGCCCCTGGGGTTGCAAAGAGTTGGACATGACAGTGACTTTCATGTTAGTGTGATTTACAGTGAATGTTTTGAAAGGGACTCCATTTTTATTAGAAATATGTTTAACTTTTTCAGAATATGCTTATAGACATGAAATCACGGAGGCTGTCGGTCTTCCAAACATTCCTGTTCATCCAATTGGATACTATGATGCACAGAAGCTCCTGGAGTAAGTTTTTAAGAAACAAACAGATGGCTATTTGAGTAATTCTCTTTACCAATATTCTTCAGCTATCATGCTTTTATCTTCATTATTCCATACTGAAGTTCTGTGTGGTGGGTGGAATATACAATTTTATCACCGTTTTATACAATAGTGATTCTAATCTGGGATTTGTTTTAAATACTGATATTAAAGTGAAATACCACCATGAAAGTGAGTCTTTCCAGATCATCAACTTCAGGGATTGTAATGATTGTTTGCTCTACTGTGCTTTTTTTTTTTTT